CTGACTGGCACAGCCACAACTTCAAGTAATTCCTCCAAGCACCTCTGCAATAGTCTATAGATCAAATAACTGGTTGATGACACCCACTAACACCTTCCAGCATAGGGGCACCCCTCAGCTCATCCTCCATTTCACCTTGAATGGTCTCTTAGAAAATGTGTTAACTACTTATGCTAAACCATCTTGTGGCTTATAGCTGTGACATTCTGAATACCTTTCCCAGACTCTGAAGAAGAGCTCAAAAAACTTGTCTCTTTCACCAATGGAAGTTGGTCCAGTGAAAGATATTACAGAGACAAGGTGGATGAGGTAATCAATTTCCCAATAGTTTATCATGCATAGGCCTGGCTGGACATGAGTAATTGAACATGGTGGAGGCATCATTCTTGGAAAACAGAATTAGGGAGGTAACTAGGCTGAAAATGAAATGTTGGTGCTAAGATAAATAAATGGGTCGTAAGCCAAAAGAAGATATCTGAGCAAGGTAAGATAAGAGGGGCATCACATGGGTAACCATTTACTTAAGATCAAGATAAGGTAAGTTGGGATGGTAAAGATGAGGTAAAGAGCAAATCATACATGGACCAGAGCATGCTGTATAGGAACTGGTTCCTACAAAGTAACCAAGCCAATCAAAAAAACACATGATGCAGTGTATAGTAAAAGCAATGTAATGCGTAAATGTGTATTTGAAAAGAGATTTTCTGAGTAACTTTGTACGTGTAGCATACCCCTACAGCTACCTCCTATGCTAGAATATGATCAACTCAGCATAGCTTTACCATATGCCAAATAAGGGAACCTGAGTGATGAGACTGGAATCTGAATTCTTGGGGAACCAAGTGGAAAGGGTTTCAGGGGAACCCCAACAACATGTTGACACCCTGAATGACTTATTACCCAGACAGAAAGAAGTATAATGGAAGACTGGGAAGAAGTAATGGGGGGCATGAACACAGCCCATGGCATGGGGGTGGGAGAATGGAGGACCCTTAATGGGTGAGGGGGGAAGGGGAGACACACAGAACCCCTAGTCAGAGGGAAGGTTGGGGAAAATCCCTGGCACAAAAGGGAATGGAGGTAAGTGGGAATGCGAGTACACACAGAGCTACTGGAATGGGGGACAAACAGAACTTCTAATGGGGAGAGGTTGTAGGGAGCCCCTGAAAAAAGAGGGGGTGAGGTGGGAGGGTGGTACACAGGTAGCTTGTGAGGGGGTGGAAATGGAGGGATGCAAGGAGCCCCTGGTGTATGCAATAATCTTGGCCTACACAAGTGTGCAAACTCCTAATGTTGTTCTGTCATTTTTCTTGCAACTTCATCACCTTGCAGTGAGGGGTTGAGAGAGAGGGTCCGGAGTCTGTTGATGTACATTTCATAGCAAGGGAAAATAGGTAACGAGAATTTATATTGAGGAAAATCCATTATGCTTGAAAGGCAGAGGCCCTGATACAAACTGGAAACAGGTATCCTGAAAGCACAATATATCATCCATTGCCAAAACAATGGACATGCAAATAAAAGTTCACTCACCTTGGCTGGCGAGTATGGTTAAGGCAAATTGCAAATTGATCTGAGAGCCATAAACTCAACTTAGAGCCATAAAGATGTGGCGAGAAAAAAGTATTATCAGAGTGAGTGGGAAAAATAATCACTGCATGGGAATCCAAGTCTTTCGTTTTCTCCAGTCAGTACAGCTGATCAATCACTTAACACTGTGGAGAGGAACACTAACACCTCAGAGCTGCCCTGGATCATGGGACTTGATAAGGACATGCAGAGGAGACAAGAGGAGGATTGCAGGTGACCAGCACATATCCAGAGAGAGAAAAAATACCTAAGGCTTTGTCTACACTGGCAAGTGAAAGACAAAACTTTTGTCATTCAGAGGTGTTAAAAAAACATCCCACAGAAAGACAAAAGTTCTCTCGATGACAAGTGCTGGTGTGAACAGCATTTCGACAATGCTAACGCCGCTTGTTGGGGTTGGAAGTTTTTTGCCTGCAGGAGAGCTCTCTCCTGCCGACAAACAGTGGCTACACTGCGCGTCTTTTAGTGGCACAACTGTAGCGGCACAGCCATGTCACTAAAAGCTGGGTAGTATAGTCATAGCCTAAGAGATATAAGATTTCCTCTATTTTATTGTAACTAAAGAAAGCTTGATCTAGTACACTTCTCAGAAGCTAAACTGCCAGATATTCAGTCAAATTGTTTGTGCTCCACCGTCATTAATCTCAGTTTTTAACAAGGTCTTGCTTTGACATGATTATTTGATTGGTAGAATGTAAATTGGGTAATTTTATGCATACAGCCCTAAAGAGACAAGAACCCCTTGACCTTCAAGCAGGGGCAGTGATGGTAAGGAGTTTCTGGAGCCCAAATCGAAGTCTTAGGCAAATTGGCATATACATAAGGCATATCATTTAGAGCTGTGGTCAGGCTCACATAAGGGGAGAAGGCTAAAGATTAAGGAAGAGGGGAAGACTAAAGATTAAGGAGGAGAGCCAAACTGTCAGGCCACAGGTAGCAGAAATGTCTGTCTAAACTCACAGGGTCATGTGTCCCTTAGCCAATAGTAAAGCTCCAACAGTGTTACTGACAGCCATCTTGATGAAAATTTTCTAAAATGTTAAGTTCTAACCACTTCCACTTTAAATTTTTGTTTCTGTTGAAAATATTTAAACTTTTTAATTGTGCTGTTTCCCATGTATTTATACTAAATCCTAATTTATGCTTTCCAGTATTTCCATCATGTTTAATAATCAGAACAAGAAGAAAATGCTACAGTAATGACTTTATTAAGATCAAATATTCATAATCACTTGGGGATGGTGTGGTGCACCCTAAATGTCCTGAGGTTTCTCTATTTTAAACCACAAAGGATCATGAAACCATGGTCCAAAGGGCTGTTTGGCAAATGGGGATAGCTGGAGTGCATTGTCCTCAGGTGCTCCTCACACCCCACACAGACATCTTAAAATGTCCTTTCCTAATATGCCCCTTGTGCTGTTGGCCATTAGGAACTCCCCCACACCGGAGTATCTCTAGTAGAAGATTTGGAGGCCGTATCCACTCCCTTTGCCCTAAAAGGGAAGGGAGTACAGTAGAGCCTCAGAGTTACAGATACCTGGGGAATGGAGGATGTCTGTAACTCTGAAATGTTCCGTAACTCTGAAGAAGAGATTACGGACTTCAGCCATGGGGGCAGAGTAGGGGATTGGGGCAGAAGCCACAGGGCGGGGGGGGGGGGTGGAGAAGGGATGGGTCAGGGCTCCGAGTCGGGGTGGGGAGGCTGAAGCACCCACAGAAAAAAAATAGTGGGTGTTCAACACCCACTGGCAGACGCACCGATCAGCTCCTCCCTCTGCCCCCAGTGCCTCCCGCCTGCCAGCGGGCCTTGCCGATCAGCTCCTCCCCCGCACTCCCAGTGTCTGCTGCGATCAGCTGTTCAGCGGCAAACAGGAGGTGTTGAGGGAGAGGGGGAGGAGCGGGGACAGGAAGAGGTGGGGGAGGGGCGGAATGTGGGTGGGAAGAGTCAGGGTGGGGGCTTGGGGCAAAGGGGGGGGGGGGCCAGCATCCCCAGGGAAATCCCAAATTCGGCGCCTCCATCTGTAACTCTGATGTTCTTATCTTTGAGGTTCTATTGTAGAATGATACAGAGAATCTGCCCCTATGTCTTAATGATTAATGGTTAATAATCTGAGAGGTGGGGGAATCAAACATAGATCAGCTAAAATGATCATGTAGATAGGTACTACTGACAGCCTACACAGTGATGCAAGTTTTCATCTGTGGGCCAGATGGGAAAGGTGTGTGTGTGTGTTTCCTGCCCTTCTACCCACATTTTAACCTCTACCAACTTCACCAATCTGGCACTATACTACTATCCAGGAGGGCAAGAACAATGGCTTCTTTCAGTCTGCCGTCAGTGCAGCCCTTCGTCTCCACAAACTGAGCATGTCACATCTGGGATGCATCTGCTGTCTTGAAAAGTAACACTAAGACTATGTCTACACTGCCCTGCAGTTCAGACTACAAGCTGCAAACAGCAGTGCACACCAAAGTGCTGTGCTGTAGCTTCCCTGTGTGGACACTGCAGGTGCAAACTGAAGGGTTACTATTCTCATAAACATAGTCCTCTTCTAGGAACCTTTTAGTTTGTGCCCACAGTGTCCACACAGGGTACTTACAGCACAGCACTTTGGTGTGCACAGCTGTTCGCAGCCCTGCAGTCTGAACTGCAGGGCAGTGTAGACCTAAGTTAGATCCTGACTTGGATTATGTTCTTGGCTTTCAAGCAAACTAGTAGCCATTAATTTCCCTTTTACCTTAAAAGGTATTTCCCCCCCCCCCAGCACTATTTAAAGTGCCCCACCACTCGTGCCATGGTAGAACAGCCAGGAAAAATTTAAGTGTCACATGACCCAGTATATCCTTCTTCCAGAGACCCAGAGAGAGACAAAGGAAAAAGCTTCTGGGAACTGCAGTCCATGCCGGGCAAGGGAATTGCTTTGTTTTCATGTTACAAGTTTTTTGTTTAAACCAATAAATTGTGCCCTGAGGTAAGGTCTGAATCAGACTCGGGCACAGCATTCCTTCCTTCCTGAGTTGATGAGATAGCCCACCATCTTACAACATCCTTAAAACTCAACATTTGCTCCTCTGCAATAACTGCAGTTCTGTACCTCCTACTCTAAGTATAGGAAGATACCATTGTTACTGCAGGTACTTTTGAATTTCAATGGCACCCACTGCATAAATTGTTTATAACAAAAATGGTAGTTGAATACATTTTGGTTACAAAATATAACTAAGTCCACAAATTATTAGTAAAATCTGGTGTAAAGAAATACTGGAGTGAAAATAATAGATATTAACATATGAGCTAAAATAAATTATTCTATTTTAGATGAGAAAATGTAGGGCTTTAAAAACAAGATCTGTGTATAATCAGAAAAAAATGCTATGGTTACTCAGGAACTAATGGAGAAAAGGCTAACCTTTTATCCTATCCCCTTTGTGCAGATGAATCTCTCCTTCTCCTTGAGGTTGATATGGCTTGACGACAATAAAAAGTCTTCCAGGTACAGCACTGTAAAGTTTGCGTTTTGGACCCTGATAATCCAAGGCAGCGATAGCATCCTTGTTGGCACTGGGATTATAACCGGCACTGGGGATTGCAATGAAACAGCATTAGTTTATAATTTAAAATAGACATTAATATGGTTCTGTTCTCATGACACAACAGAACATATTTAGCGGGGAGAATATGCAATAAGTATGCAGTTTGCAATAAGGTAGCTATTACTGGAAAAACAAAACTAGTTTGTTAGTCTAGCCCAGTTGTTCCCAAACTTGATCCGCCGCTTGTGCAGCGAAAGCCCCTGACGGGCTGGGCCAGTTTGTTTACCGGCCGCGTCCACAGGTTCAGCCAATCACGGCTCCCAGTGGCTGTGGTTTGCTGTGCCCAGCCAATGGGAGCTGCTTGCCCACACTGCTTCCAGCAGCTCCCATTGGCCTGGAGCAGCAAACCGCGGCCACTGGGAGCTGCGATCGGCCAAACCTGCGGACGCAGCAGGTAAACAAACTGGCCCGGCCCTCCAAGGACTTTCCCTGCACAAGCAGCGGAACAAGTTTGGGAACCACTGGTCTAGACACAGTATTTTTTTAGATAATCTTTGAAGTGGAAAAGGTCAAATAATGACAGTTTTGTTAAAACAAAATGTGAAAAGACTATAACTAAGACAACCATGCAGTTTTCCAGCCCTTCAGCTAATTTAATTTACACACTTTATAGATTATCTATCTATATATATATATATACACACACACACACACATACACACACACATCATAATGCTGCAAAAGAAATAAGTAGAACACTTTAGACCACTAAAATCTACAATTACTCCTGTGATTGGGTGTGTTCACAATAGTTCTATAGGAATACGCATCATTCACGGGCCTGAACCAAAACCACAACTCTGAATGGGCCCAAAGATGCATCATGTCTTTTGTGTTTGATACAGTATAATTTCAGAGGAAGTTTCTTATCAGTGATCAAAAGATGAACACCTATCTACTTGTTTTGAATAAGGAAGAATTCATTGATAAAGGGTGGAAAATAAAGAAGCTTGGTGCTAGATCACATCACCACAAAGGCATTTCCTTTAGGAAATCAAATATTACAATAGTTGAGAAACGATGTCTGGTGCCAGGGAGGAAATGGTAAAATTCAAGTGTGGGTAGAAGAATCTTAAAAGGCATCATAAAAAAGGTGGACCATGCTACAGTTCCACTGCTAAGGATAAATGCAAGGAACAAGAAGCCTTATGTGGAAATGCTGAAAATAGAATATATGCAAAGGAAACAAGAATACACAGAAATAATCAGTGTTTTCAGAGAAAAGATAAGGGCAGGGGAAAAAACAGAATGAGTTAATACTTGCGTAATTGCTTGGGATGAGAAGGATGGGTTTTTTATTTGGCTTAGTGAGTAAGATATCCTTTTAAACAAAAAAACACCATTATGGCAAGGAAGAGCAAGCAGGATTTTTGTCTGAGCTAGTATATATAGATAATTCAGAAAACTTCACTGGCGAGCTCAGCCTAAGGGGAACAAAGTGAGCTTTCACAAATATATTTTTGGTGTAAAGAAGACAAAGTGAAATTAGGCATTCTAATGTATGAGGGAAACAAATATCAATGATGATTAACGGTCTTTAACAAACGGGGAGGGGAGAGAATAATCCACTAGGAAAGAATGAAGACTGTGTCAACAAAGCTGTTGATAAAAAGTAAACAAGGGAAACTTGGAAGAAGTTTAACATAATGGAACTTCTGAATAAGGAAGGGTTTGCCCCACCCACCCAAATCAATTTCACTGCAGTAAACCACACATTATCAGGAGCCTTTGATCTCAGACTTGATCATTTTCTAGATTTATTTTTCCTTCTTTTCTTTTAGTGCCAAGGACTGATGCCAATAAAGACAGTCTCCACTTAATGTTTCAAGTGGCTGTGCAGACTGGAGGTCTGTTGGTGAAAGCTCACTAGGCTGTGGCAGCTGCTTAAAGTGAAAGAGGTAGTGGTAACCCTAGGTCTCACTAGCCATCTCCTTCTATTCATCTCCACTAATCTCTATGCTTATATAACGAGTGTCCTTGGCCTAAACAGCACTTCCTAATTGCCTGGACTAAGCAGGTTTGCCACCCTGTCCTGACCAGATCAGCCATCCTGTGCAAGTTACAGCCCTGCAATATACACAAAGCAGTATACACTCAACCCCCATTGGCATGGGATGGTATAGAGGATTTCTAATCTGGTAGAGTATAAATCCTCCAAACCTTATGAGTTAGGACATGAACCATCATCACTTCTATGATTTAAGAGTCCCCTTTCCTACTGAGAGAGTGGATCTCCCTTAACCCTATTGCTAGGACCAAGTACCACAGATGCTGCTTCCTTTAATCTTAGCTGGCATCTTCCATTCCAATAATTCCCAGTTTAATCATGAAGGCTGGCTAGCATTTCAAGAAAAATACCAGATGGATGAAATAGGTCAGGACAATTGTACATAAGGTCACATCCTAGCCTCTTAGGTCATACCTATCAAAAGATTCAACCTCCCTTCTTCGCGGGGGAGGGGAGGGAGTAAGGCTTTTCTGTTTTTTTTTTCTTCGTTTTCACAGACTGATTTTCTTGTGAATACTTCCCATTTCAATCACTATCACAGGCATCCTCCCCTCACTGATGGGATGTATAAACTCCTTGCACACAGAGGGAGAGGAAGGTGTTAATGTAGAGCCAAGAAGAGGAAGAAAGTGGAGCAGCTGGGTTTAATCACAACTGTAAACATGCATGGCTTTCAGATAACGGGGAGATGAAAGCTGTTCCTGAGAAAGGGAAGAACTCTTCAAAAAGCTCACTCAGGAGCAAGAGGTGCTCACCATGGAGCCACAGAAAGGAGCCACTGGCTGGAGCAAGCTACTCATTTTCATTCCTTTTTGCTTTCTTTGGTTTAGGTTGCAGAAAGCCACAAAAAACGTTCGTTGAATTGACTGGGGCTTTTTGGACTAAAGCGAGGGACAGTTTTATGTGAACCACTAGCAAATCGCAAGGGGAGAGAACAAAGATTACCCTTCAAGCTCAAAGTAAAGGCTTGGTGACACTTCAAGGAAGAGAATTGGTGGAGGGAGTCCTGTGCTTGCCCCCATTCATAACTGCACAACATCTCTGTGGTAACTACAGCAATGGCTGTGTAACCACACACCTTCTGGGTGTGGTATTCTGTCCCATTTAGTGGCACCGAGACCACTGTGAGAGAGAGAGAGAGCGCAATTAATGAGTCTGCTCTACAGCTTTAGCTAAGCGCCAGTTGACTTTTAGCTCATGCACTAAATTCCAGAGATCCCCGGTTCAATCCCGCCCCCGACAACCGGGGTCTGTTGGTGTTACAGTGGCACAGAACATTAGGAAAGTGTTTCAGTGGTCTTCAACAAATTTAGAAGCTGGAAATAAGAGCTAGCACCATGTGACCAACCAGCTTTCTGCGGACCACCAGCAGATGCACTGGAGACACCGGGGATGTATATTCATAGGTTATATCACATGGCACTGTTCCTATTCTATGACAGGTTTCAGAGTAACAGCCGTGTTAGTCTGTGTTCGCAAAAAGAAAAGGAGTACTTGTGGCACCTTAGAAACTGACCAATTTATTTGAGCATAAGCTTTCGTGAGCTACAGCTCACTTCATCGGATGCATCCGATGAAGTGAGCTGTAGCTCACGAAAGCTTATGCTCAAATAAATTGGTTAGTCTCTAAGGTGCCACAGGTACTCCTTTTCTTTTTCCTATTCTATGTTTGGATGGGTGTGCAAATAGTTTCAGTACAAATACTTACACATGGAGGACTTAGCATTTGGTTTCCACAAATTTTCCGGCATGAAATTGGCTTCCATTAACATTTGTGCTGGTGAAACTCACTCAAGCATTCACAGACAGTGAGAATAGAAGAGGGATGAGAGCAGCCAAAGCAATTTCATTTAAAAAAATTAATTAATATTCACAGAAAGTTTTTGCATTATTTGGTCAGCTCCATAAAATCAACAAATTATACTCCAGGAACCTAGAGATATTATTCTAGTAACATTGTATATTCTAATTAGAAGCCAAGTTTTTAAATAGTTTTTAGCTAGACTGTCCTTTGGAGAAAGCAAAACACATTCCCTCTAACTGGAAGGAACAAAGAGGAGGGTCCCTGGCCTGCAAAGACAATTTAACAGGTGCACCCCTGCATCTATGCAGAATCCTAGTGTAGTCTCCAGATAAATACAAGGATCTGTCCACGTGGTTCTCTATGCAGGAGTGAGGCCTAAGGTAATAATTGAATGACTTTGCACAGGACCTAGACAAATTAGAGGGTTGGGCCAAAAGAAATCTGATGAGGTTCAACAAGGACAAGTGCAGAGTCCTGCACTTAGGACGGAAGAACCCAATGCACAGCTACAGACTAGGGACCGAATGGCTAGGCAGCAGTTCTGCGGAAAAGGACCTAGGGGTGACAGTGGACGAGAAGCTGGATATGAGTCAGCAGTGTGCCCTTGTTGCCAAGAAGGCCAATGGCATTTTGGGATGTATAAGTAGGGGCATAGCGAGCAGATCGAGGGACGTGATCGTTCCCCTCTATTCGACATTGGTGAGGCCTCATCTGGAGTACTGTGTCCAGTTTTGGGCCCCACACTTCAAGAAGGATGTGGATAAATTGGAGAGAGTCCAGCGAAGGGCAACAAAAATGATTAGGGGTCTGGAACACATGACTTATGAGGAGAGGCTGAGGGAGCTGGGATTGTTTAGCCTGCAGAAGAGAAGAATGAGGGGGGATTTGATAGCTGCTTTCAACTACCTGAGAGGTGGTTCCAGAGAGGATGGCTCTAGACTGTTCTCAATGGTAGCAGATGACAGAACGAGGAGTAATGGTCTCAAGCTGCAGTGGGGGAGGTTTAGATTGGATATTAGGAAAAACTTTTTCACTAAGAGGGTGGTGAAACACTGGAATGCGTTACCTAGGGAGGTGGTAGAATCTCCTTCCTTAGAGGTTTTTAAGGTCAGGCTTGACAAAGCCCTGGCTGGGATGATTTAACTGGGAATTGGTCCTGCTTCGAGCAGGGGGTTGGACTAGATGACCTTCTGGGGTCCCTTCCAACCCTTATATTCTATGATTCTATGATTCTATGAGTTACTACAATATACAACATTGGAACACTTTGCTATATTGGATCAGACCACTGGCCTATGAAGTTCAGAATCCTATCTCATGAAGTGGTCAATGCCATATGTGATTTAAGCAAAACTGTTGTGAATTTTCTAGATTGCAACATTAGAAATCTCTGGTGGTATTGCTAATACCACCAGCAGAAAACATGTGTTAGCTGGGTGCCCATAACTGAAGAGGGGGAGAAGAAAAAAAGGAGCAAAGTAAGGGAAGAAAGTAATAGGAAAATAACTTCAGCCAAATTCTCTTTTGCTCTAATGACTACAAATTTAGATATAAATCTATTATACATAATATCAAAGTGACACCCAACAGTAGCCAACACTGCTACTTGACAATATTCATTTTCTTTTTTCATATTGAGATCAGGAAATATGACAGAGAAAGCCCATTATTTTGAATGACAATAGAATTAAGTTTATTGGATCAATGTATTTAAATTCTATTTAAGTCTCTCACTCTCCCCCCTAACTTAAACTGTAATTATCCCTTTATAAGGCAGCATTTTGGTGTGTACTGACATTCTTTAAAAGATAAAGCATTCACACCTAATCTATCAATTTTGTTCTATTAAAATGTATGCCAGCATCCACCTTTCTCCAATAAAGCAAGACTTCTTATACAGTGGGCACGGCCCATAGGTAGGCACCCACTTGGTCACACTCACTAGTCAAAAGGGAAAAAATAAAGCAGCAAAATCCTCAAGTGTTAGGGCCCTGCAGAAAGTAGGAATGGGAGAAGATGCTTGCTTCCTACTACCACCGCCTCCAGCTGCTGCCCCTCACCAGCTCTTCCCCCACCAACCCCGCTAACCAGCCACACAGGAATTCCTCAGACCTCCACTTTTTCTTCCTTCTTGCATACTGTTCAGCTCCAGATCAGTGGAAATGGGACTTCAAGAAGCTGTGGAGTTGAGTATGTTGCCTCTAACTGGCCTTGAATGCTGTCTGGGAAGGGGGTTGGAAGAAAGCAATTGACTCAGGTTCCATCAACAACCTGATGGACAACAGTCCCCCTCGCCCAACTGTAGAGTAAGCAGACTACAGCCATAAGAGATAGTTTGGTCCCTACTACCTCAGAGAGTCTCTCTTTTCCCATTATTTATTAGAGCTATTACAACCATACAAGACTCTCAAGCTACTTGCATCTAGAGCTCTGTGAAGAAATGATTTTTCAATTCATTGGCTGAACCAAAATATAGAAAACAAAAAATTATTTTGAGTCAACCGGAAACAAAAATTTTAAATTTCAAACTTTTTGGTAAACCGAAAAAGTAAAACAATGTTTGTTCTGGATGAAATGTTTCATTTTGTTTTTGAGTGTAACCTTTTAAAAACAAAATCAAAATTGAAAACAAAAGATCATTCGGAATTGAAAAAAATCAGAATGTTACATTTTGAAAGTGTCTGAAAAACTGTCTCCAGATCTACTAACACCCTGCTTGAAACAGGAGGGGAGTGGTAGAGGACACCAAAGCATGATTTGGTAACCTTCAGATCATACTGCTAGGTTTATCTATTTACGCTGACTTTGTGAGGAAATGGATGGAGTGGATAAGAGTATCTGCAAGCAATGATTAGAGGTGTTGACAAGTTCAGCTTTTGGACATTGCTCCAATGCATATGATTTTATTCAAATGTTCATATCTACCCTAGCCCCAAGATGGACATTTATAATAAATCTGTATTCATGAATATCATGGTCAGTGTGTCAATAAAATGGTATATTTCATGCTGTAGAAATATTGAAAAAGATCACCTGATGTGCCTATGTTGCTGTCTTTTTGCATCCTCTCCTACCCTGTTTAATGATGGTGACCGACTCCGAGAGGATGGGGTATAACTCCCAACAGCTTTTACAGTTCCATTAGGATTATTCTGCATCTGTTGAAGTAGGTGAGGTGAAAGGCTGCGGTGTGAAGAAGCAGAAGATGAAGCTGAACAGTCAGGAATGTTGTTGATGTTCAGATTGTTATCGCTGTTGGAACGAAGTAAGACACGAGGTGCTGCCAAGGTGCTTTGGGGCTTCCGCCTCCTGTTTGAATAGGTAGGAGCCTCTCTAAATGGCACTGTATTAAGAGGGGGAGGGGAAAAACAATTATGGTAATCACATCTGATTTGATCATTTATGCATATTTATCACTCCTTAAAAAGATTCAACAACATATGGCACCTTTTTTGGGTGCTTAGAGTAAAAGAGAAAAACTATCTTCACTGATTATCTAATCAAGCTAAATAACAGAATTATATTTAAAATGTAATTAAAACTGAAAACCACTTTCATATGCAACATACTTTGACTTACTGGTTGTAATACATAGTTAAGCCCCACAATACTGGAAACATCAATGAATAGTAATGGCAAACATCTATTTTTTGCCAAGCTTTCATCGACACTATTTGCCCTCTCTCTCAAGCTTTCTTTGAAGCCTAACACAAGTTCATGGACTTGAACTGATCCACAGAAACTTCTTCTTTCATGCTGTATCTTTTGGGTTCCTTTTTCCTATAGAGACCTAAACTGAGAGAGAGAATTTGGTTCCATTGTCAGTTCAGGAGTAGCCTGGAAATCTTTAATGTTAGCGGTCACCTTATCTCCATCTGCTAGGTTAAAAATTCAGGACAGATTCTTCTTCTCTTAGAACTCTTACACTGACATAATCCCTAGGTGTCTGTTTTTCTAATCTAGGCATTTCTATTGCACCTATTATTGTATATAGAGCAGAGAATGCAGTATCCTGAGGTAATATGCTCACTTCAGCTCCCACAAGCATTCACTGGAGAATATACCAAGACATATCTAAACATAGCAATAAATCATTTAACTATTTCTTTTAGTAGAAAAATATACAAATCAGGAACCTGATCCTGCAAATGCTACCAGAAAAGCACTGCAATTATGGGACAATTTATATTAGTAAACACTATGCCCCAAGACTCTCCATTTCTCAAAGGAATGGGTTCTTTAGCCTCAAATACAGTTTAAAGAGACTTTTCTAATAAAAGGCATCTTATACACACCCTAGATCTGATGGTTCTTCCTACTAATTTCATAAACTAATAGACGTCTAACCTGAAAACCCTTATTTATTTTAGTTCTTATTTATGAAAAATAAGCCCGTTAACTTCAGTGGGACTCAGAGGGTTTGTAGGATTGAATCCAGAGTTCACAAATCTAAATCTGCAAAGTAATAATAATGATATCACTAATAAAAGGCAGCCTGTAATTATTCAGAAGACTATGCAGACTGTAATTTTCAAAAATTATATAATATTTCAGTTAGGAAAGAAACCCCAGATAATATTTTGTGTGTATACAATGTCATTCATCTTGAAGGATAACTAAGTACACAATCAAAACTTTAAAAGCATAAGCTTATATAAAATAGAACAAATATGTCATACTATACAAACACACACATATTAATATAGATATTAGCATACATAGAAATGACTTCATCCTCCTCTAATATACAGCCATCCCTGGGGTGAAGCACAACAAGTGCTTAAGATAACAGAGCAATGTTTCACACAATTTTAGGACAGGAAATGAAGAATATTTTAACCAATTGTAACTGCAGCTTAAAGAATGAATTTCCTCAAAAAAATTTCACCAGAATTCTTGACTGACAAGTGATTCTGAAGAGGATCATAAAATGACACAGTATAGCAAACAGTCAAAATTCCAGGTAGTTGAAACTCTCATTTAGGTTAAACTTTCTGTTATAAATATTAACAAAAAAGATACATATAGAGAACAGGATTTGAAATTGATATTAAATTCTACTGTATTTTATTTGAAGCAAAAATTAAATAATAGTGATCTTTACCAACAAGGCTGTTAAGAAGGATGCGACTTAAGAGAGTGCTAAGTTTATGATGGAAATGGCAAAAATCTACAGAACCTATGAGAAGGGGATTTTTCAAGTATATCATAATGCCCACTTATAAAAAAAATGCATTTAGAAGAAAGTCAATGGAACTTGTGCTCCTAACTCCACTTAGGTGCTTTTGAATGTATGACACAATGCTTCTAAAAGATTCAGCTCAAGGCCAACCCAAACGTCTTAAAAAAAATTCAGAACACAATCTTCCATAGTGTGTGTGTCTGAATCTTCTGCAAAAAGGTACAATTTCTTTTTCAATTTTTATTCATTGCCACTTTAGAATACGTTCCGGGAAATAGAATACTTTCTGTTATCTTGCCATGCTACATGTAGTGTGTGATATGGATATACAGTTTGTATATAGCTATGCTTGGGACATTTAGCATTTTCTTACTAACAATGCCACTGAAGAGAGGCAGATTGTGAATAAGATCTTATGGGTTAAAATAAGGTAAAATATTTTCTTTTAATAAAGATTACACAAAATAATGTGGATACAATAGGTACAGGCTTGCCTATTTATATCCAATTGAAGTCAATGGGAGTTTTGCATTTGGCTTCGAACAGGACCAAGATGTGTCCCCTAGAATTATTTGTTAGTTCACAAAATGGACAGGATGAAGACTCCACACTAAGATTTTGAATGCTCATAGTTAAGCTCATGAAAAATTAGAATCTATCTACTGAGGGTTTATTGTAAAAAAAGTTGAAAGGTTTGGGGGGAGGAGGTTTAATAGTTCTGAATATTGCAGAGATATCAGAGGACTAATTGACAGAATGGGATGAGTATTTCTGAGCACATTTACATTGATAAGTTTGAGAAGAATGAAAAATGTTCATACCACTCCAAATAAAAAACATTTATATATTTCCCAGGTTTCATGTAAAATTATCTTTGCCCACTGAATACTTCAAAAAAAGGATTTTAATAATCATTTTGGAATTAACATTTGGTTTGATATCAATTTTATATTCTTAAAGAAATAGCTGCAAGTAAAATTAGTCTTTACTTTTTGAATTAAAGACTCACGTTTTCTTTGTGAAGGTAATAAAGGGAAAATTATCAAAGCCACAATTAGGATTTTTTTAGGCACATATCTATGCAGGAAGAGTTAAAAAATAACCTCTTTCATGCCCAAAATGATTAATATTCCAACCAACTGTTTTTTCCCCAGCAATCTGCAAACTGTAAGTGGGTGGATATTTTCTTAGCTGCCTCTTACATGGCAATATTTATATTTTTTCACAATAAAAAAATAACTACACCACAAAATAATGAAACAAATGTGCATGCTTTAAACTCTGTTGGACTAATTTTTATTTTTAGTTAATTATTTTACAGATCTTATAGATTCTTATTGCAAAGGTTGTTTGGAGAAACAAATAATATAAAATGACATGAAAACGTCTCAACGAATTCCATGCTTTTAATTTCAAATCAAGTAATTATTGTACCTTTATATCAAACCTAAAAATTAAACAATACTTTCCTTCCAGCTGTCAGAATTTTATATCTAACAATCCATACTTATGAGGGGGCTATTAAGGAGCTTACAGTGATAATATTGACTGAGGAAATCCTCATTCATCTTCAGATGGATTTCTTAGAAAACAGAACATTTTCTATATCTACCTAAGTTTAAGAAAAAACTAATATGAATAAGTCAGGTATCAACTAGATCTAAAAATTAGTTGCCTAAATGGATACTCTGACACACAAGAATTTTGAAAAAAGAAATGGCAAGAACTGATTAATTATACAATAAGTAAGCAGATCATATTAAAGGTACACAAGAAAAATATCAGTTCTCAAACATCAAATGTTCTGAGTTCATTGCTTACCTTCTTTCTTTGTTAAGGCATTTAACAAAGACTTCATTTTCTCTTACTTTAGCAGCAATCCCCTCATTACATAACCTTTTCTAGGAAGAAAGAGGGAAAAAAACTACCCCGTTTCTATGTGTTTCAACTGCCTGCACCCTGACATAAGCAGCAGGTTTCTGGGCACCGTGTAATTGCAAGCATAGCTGGGCATGCAGTACCCAGCGTTCTGGTGACAAAGCCCACCCCACATTCTGTCTGTCAGCTGGGAACCAACTGTGCGTAGACTGGAGCTGCTCATAAAAAAATCTTGCTATCTTTCACTGTATTAGTCATGTGAACACCACCACCATAGTCTTTCAGACGTTACTCTGCTTTTGTAATCATTACATTTATGAACAAGCAAACACAGGACTGAAGGAAGGAGAAGCAGTGCAGGCTAAGAGGGGACAACATTTATATTTGGAAAGGGAGGAGGGGAATCATTCATGGAAAGATACTTCATATCAGCATTTCAACAGCTAGAACTTGTGAAGGGAAAATCCTGAAAGAAATGGGAGCTACTGAATAAGTGTGCTTAGCTTTTAAACTTGCATAGCTGAATCTCAATGTTCAGATACTTTCTATGCTTTTTGATATTTGTTTGCTTGTCTTTTGCAATGCTGTCCAGAGTCAGAGTCAATTTGAGAGTGTATGTGCATCTAACAATAAGCAAGCTTCACACCGTGCCTACATTAAAAATTTAGACAAACTGCCACTAAACGGCATATCTGAACATGACCCATATTCCAGTTTGAAAAGGATGAGAAGCAAGCACCAATTATTTTCCACTCCCCCTCTATTATGATGATTACACTGAAATAAATAGATTTTTTTTATACAAGGGGAAAACACATTAAAAGGCAACCCCAGCTACTTTATCGAATTCTATGCAGATGACAATAAAATTCTTTAACCATTGCAACTTTTCAAAGGTTTTATTTATGGAAAATGTCTATGGATACCAATGAAAGCCAGTGCAAACATCCTTACAGAGGAAGAACAAACAACCAGAAAGTTGAAGATTACCTTTTTGAAAACACTACAAATAGGACGTGGGACTTAGGCATTCACAATCAAATGAATGCTTAGCTGTTGCACAATTCCATTTTGGATATATTTATAAATATTTCAGCAATGCAATATACGGCTTCTAAGGAGTAAGATTTACAAAGACTAACCCAGACTTAAACATCATACAGCATAAACCTAAACGGCGTACTAATAATTACTCCATTGCAGCATTCTCCGCTGATTGTTAGGATAAGATCCGTAGTTAAACGCTAGATCTTTGTGTTGGTAAGACCACTGCTCCATCAACT